ACTTAGTGAAATCCTTACCTAATAAACTCTTCCTTCTAGAAAGGTTCTTTAGTTTTAAGATTGATCCAACCAAAGACCTGAATGATAATCTTGATACCTTTAATAAATTGGTACAAGATATCACCAATGCAGGGGATAAAATTTCTGAAGAATATAAAGCAGTAATACTTCTTAATGCTATACCAGAGGCATATAGGGATGTCAAATCTGCCATTAAGTATGGCAGAGATACTTTGACCCCTGAAGTTGTTATAAATTCCATAAGAAGTAAAGAATTGGAACTCAAAACTGAAAAACATGGGAAGGAACATGAGAGTTTGTACATGAGGGGAAGGCAACCAAAAAGGCAAAATAATAACTATCCAAATCAAAACAATTCTGGAAATTGTAACAAAACACTTAAGTCAAACACATTACAATTACTTCCTACTACCGATAAATGCTACACTTGACTCCATCAGCCAAAAATAAACAAAACTGAAAATTGCCGAGACAGAGAGTAAAAAACAAAACAAAAATGTAGCTACCTTCACCTCCTAAATGCCATGCTCTGCAAGGGCCTCTATACAAGCTGTGTTGTGCTACTCTCCCATAAACGAGCGCTGCTTTGAGAGAATTATTAGAATATTGATATTCTTATGCCGAGGTGCTACATTTTGATATGCCTTTGAAAGGGTTACATTCCCACCCAACTTACAAGGGTTACCTGTGCCCTGATCTTGTGGAGCCTGTGAGTTATGTTGTTTTTTAATTATGAGTCATGCAACTATTTTTGGTTGAATGGTCAAATATAAACATATATATTAGTTGCATTATGGCATAATTTTCAATAGTTATAAACAAGTTATATTGATAAGAATGAGGTTTAATTACTTAGTAACTACTAAGTCATACCAGAAGTACTTCACCTCATGTTTCTCCATGCCTCATGACAAACAGATGCTTTTTTTTCCCCCATTATTTTTCTCAATTAGCTGGCTACGAGAAGAATGCAACATTTACTACTTAGTTTTTATACTAAGGTTGCGTTTGATTACAAACATGAAATTTACATGAAAAGAAAATAAATTCTAGGTAATTCAATCGCCTAGAACTTATTCGCGTGGAAATTATCAATTAAATGTGTTTGATTGATTAATTTTTCAACTTTGAAAATATTATGCTTGTTTGTTTTTTATTGGTGGATAGATGAGAGGGAGTTGATAGATGAGAGAAAAAGACAGAGTGAATTCCCTAGAAAATAAAATCTTACTCTCTCCAAAGAAAATATTTTTCTTAATTTTGAGAAAAATATGGTCACGTGAATACAAGTAGGAAAATGTTTTCCATGGAAGAAGATGACAATCAAATAGCACAAAAGTAAGAATTTAAGTGGAAAAAACACATTTTTCATGAAAATATTGGCAATCAAACGCACTCTAAGTTCTTATCTCTTCTCTCTACATTTATTTATTCTAGAAAGTCTTGCTCCATTTTGGAAATTATGCAAGTGAGGGGATCATTTATTGATTGTGATCATGATAATTTCTCCTGGTGCACCATAACTAAAGACACCTTTTCAATTCTTCAGAATGATGGTTCCTTTAAGAGACATGCTCTTGTATGAAGGGTTAAATGTGGTGGGTGAAAATGACATAGTAAGAAGAAAAAGTTCACACTGAGGGAGCAGCTGAAGCCATTACCAGAATTATCCTGGTCTTTAACCATATATCTCAAGGGTGTTTATATATTCGTCTTCTTCAAAGAAAACGATTGAGATAAACGCACTCCACATCTAATTCGTGAATCTCCTTATCAGATCTTTTCAAAAAATAAAAGGTTATTTTGCAAGAGAGTAACATAACAGAGATGTTGGAGTCAAACTTTTAATAACTATTAAGATAAAGAAACACAAAAATTTCATTATTTACATCCAGTTAAAACAAAACATAACTATTTTGCCCCCAGATTAGTACAGGTGAAATCATTTCAAAAACTAACCATTTAAAATTGTTGGGTTTTGATACCCAATAAACCCCGGGCTATGATGTTACACATGGGAATATATTTCATAGGCCTAGGCCGATGAGTGAGATGATTATCAACGACCAAATCCAAAGGCTCAACCTGATCCATATACATTACCTCTTAGATGACTTTGAATCTTGGTCCATTTAATCTTATTATTGGTCCAACTAAAGCCTAACCTAGCCTATACATATGGTGCCTTTTTTGCCCTAGCGTTTTGGATGATTTTGTGAAGAAAAGAAGAAAAAACGTGGCTGCTATTGTGGAGAAAAAAATCCAACTGATTTGTGCTTCCAAAACCGGTGGTTTCTTTGTGTTATTTGTTTCTCTTCGTGTCTTCATTGTTTTCTTCTTGCCTTTGTGACTACAAATTATCACCGTTATCTTCTCCTTTGTGAATGAGATTGAGAAGCAACCAAGGTGAATATATAGGTTGTTAATTTAAGCCGTTTGGATTGGTTGTTTGGTGGAGAAAAGTAACGTGAAATTGAACTCAGAAAACAATGATTTGACGGTCCTTGGAGCAAGCTTCAGCGACAAAAATAATAGTAATAATAATAATATGGTAAGAAAAAGGGAAGAAGAGAATGAAAACAGAACTTCTGTTTTTCCCCTAAGTAAATACAACATTGAGATTCTTTTCTGGAACACAAAATTTTATTTATTTATTTATTTTTTTTTTTTTTTTTTTTTTTTTTTTTTTTTTTTGAAGATCACTTCAGGCTTTAGGCCTTCAATTAGTTATTTTAAACTGATGAAGAATAATCTTTCACACTTTCCTCTAAGAGAACTAAAATATGTTGAATAAAGCCACTTGTACACTCTTTTTATACATTATTGTGCACATCTTCCTAATTGGCAATGTGTGATTGATGGAAAGTTTGGTTTTTTTTTTTTTTAAACCGTCAAATCGGAACTTGACACGTGGCAGAGTGTACACAAAACTGTACACTACGATGTACATGAAGCACTGTTGAAAGATATTTAGCAGTGGAAAAAGTAAATTTTAACATTTAATGCTTCTACTTTGAGGCGAAAACACAAGCAGTCGATGTTCTTTGTTCCAGACAAAAAAATCTACCTTAGAATAAACAATTAAAGTTAAATACTTTTATGCTATTTCTTGAACCCAAATCAAGAAGGAGGGGAAAAAAAAGGATCAAAATCAAGAATTTATAAAACAGAGTGACAGGTCAGAATGAAATTAAGTCAAGATCAAAATCCAGTCTAATCTTGGAGACAAAAAATTTTTACTCTTAGGAGAGAAAATCCAAAATAAAACGAAAAATCAAGAAGACAAATTCCATAATTTATTTAACTTATGTGAATCATAGTGTGAAGTACGTGGATTGTACCTATAAATTGAAATTTTCCCTCTGAAATTGATGGAATGGAAAATATATAAAAGGTAAAACAAAACGGAGTAGCCATAGGTGGGAGAAAAAAAGGTGATTCAAGAATTGCATAAGCCACCGTTGTCTCCAAGATATTTTAAAAAGTGAGTACATACTCACACCATCATTTTTGTTAAATACATAATGCGGCTATTTGGCCATATTTTTCAAAATTCGTTTTTCTCCAATCTCACTTTAACTACATATGTTTTTTAACAAAATAATTGTTTTACATATAGATCCACAATCATGGTGTTTCTTCATCTCATTTGAGACACTAATAATTAGCTATCAGATATGTGGCTAAGCTTTTATAAAGAAAGTAAGGAATTTTTTGTTTTTGTTCGAATATATGGATTGTTGATCGCCCATATGAGGTAACCCAACCCATAAGATATCAAAAGGATTGGAGGAAGCCTACGACTCCCCATAACTTTCATTTTAACATAAAATTATTTGTCTAAAATTTGGGAAAGAGAATGACAAGAAAATAATGAAAATTCATATAGAAAATTAATCTAAAATAGAAAAGTGCCTAGAACCATGCCACATATATGGCATGAAAACTCACAAAAATAGGCATTTAGATTGTGGATTATAATCCCTTCCATTATGATCAAGACTGGGACCATTGGAGAATAAGAAAGTGTAGATTTCAAAGTTTAGAAAGCATGGTGATTCAACCATTTGAAAAATTTTGGAATTCATCATTTTATACGAGGATTCTTGACCTGAAATTTATGTTCAAGTATGCTACGAATTATTACAGTTTCAAAATACCTTATTTAATTTTATTTTTTTTTATTTATAACTAAACCTTTTAAGTTTAGCCATTTTTGGCTTGTAATAAATGGCTCCTATATAATGCCAGGAGTTTTACAACCAGAAGAAGAAAACCAGACAGATAATGGTAACACGAGATATGTATTCCTTTGTTCATCTCCTGGTGACCTTATTACAGTGCATTTCACTGGGTTTAGCGTTGAGTTCATCCCTCGGAAATCAGCAAACTAGCCTTCATATCCTGGAAATCTTTCTCAACTTCAACAGATACAAAGCATTGCAAAATTTTCCAAAGTAGGCAAACACTTACGGTGCATTTCTCAGCTTTTAGCCTAGAGTTCATCCCTTGGAACTTGCCAAGCTAGCCTTCATATACCAGAAATCTTTCTTAACGTCAACGGATAAGAAGGATTGCAAGATTTTCAGAAGTAGGCAAAACACTCTAGATCAATTTAAGGGAAACAACGAATATGAAAAATATACAGTTTCCAGCAACAATTTCCGCCTCTCGCAAAAGACAGAGATCAGGAGCCCAAGACCTTACTGGTGGACACTGGTAATACATTTATTTGTACAGAATGTTAACAATTCAATAAACCAAATGTGTCTGCAATGTTAATTCACACTTGCTGGCTCCTTTGATACATTTTAAGTGCCATTTACAGGTAACATAGAAATATCATTTCTTAATATCGTTCTTGGTTGATCAAAAGGGACCTCCTAATATTGCGAGTTCATGTTTATCACAATCACAAAACTTGACAACAAACCACCTAACCTGTTAATTAGTCTATTACAAATTATTAAGCAAGCGAAGAAAGTTGGAATTGGACATTTATTAACAGCATTCAATGTACGAGACACAAAGCAAATGAATTAAAAATTCTAGAATGGTAATAATAGCTAAAAATGCAAAGTAAAAGATAGAAATACACGCTACATAATGTCTTCCACTTCATCAAATCTTAAAGCAAAGTAACTTATAGAGGCTGGTCCAAGACTTCGATGACACAGTTTTCTGAGATTCTAGGGAGCATGAGTAGCTGGTTCTCGAATTTCTCTCGCTTTCCCATATAGTCTGATGTATAGTTCGGATAATGTACCACCACCCTTTGAATATCAGCTGAATGCTTCAAGAAATGTTTTAGCAGATGTATTGGAGCTTCTTGCCCATAGATAGCCTTCATGCTAATGACCTTGAGATGGGATCTCAAACAGCAAGGAATTGTTTCAAAATTTAGATCGTCTTCATGTAAAATGAATTCTGCGTCCTGAATGAGTCCCTAAATGACAATAACAAAGAGAAAGCTATTACATTTGCAGAATGATCAATCAATCAACTCACTTTTTTAGTTGACCCATTGAAGGAGGTATATCAGAAAAACTGCATTGAGCAAACTTAAAACTAGATGAGGGCTTTCTGGTATCATTTACCTCTGCAATTTCAAGGATTCTAAGATTTGGTGTTCTCTGCATCATGTCCAATAAAATATCTATTGTGTCTCTAGACATTTCACGAACTACTTTCAAATGGATCAAATTTTGAAAAACAGGCACATCAGATAAATCTCTTACTCCAGAAAGACTCTAGCATACAAGAACACAATTGAAATTAGTAATGAGACTAATCACAAAAAGTCAAGAAGGAATACACCAGAAATCATTTCAAAATTAGGAAGCTTTTGATACCGCAAGTGAGTCATGAGATATAGTCAATGATCTAACGCTCTTGATTCCGTTAAGCATTCTGATGCTACGGCCGCTAACTTCTTCCTCTGCTTCTTCGTAATTAAAAACGTCAATAGATGCATTCTCCAGTAAACATGCAGATACTAGAAGATTAACTGAGAAGTTACTTATACAATTCAAGTAAACAAGATTTGAAACACGAACTACTATCTCACAATCAAGTAGATCCTCGGGATCTGAACACTGCTTAAAAATCAGGCATCTCAAATTGGGAACCGAAATGCTGAGACGCCTAATGTTTTCCCATTCACAATTCACCAACACCAAGTTTTGAAGCAATGGGATGCTTGAGAAAAACTGTGTAGAACTTCTGTTGAAAATGGTTGCTTGGGAAAGATGCAGTTCTTTTAAATTTGGCCAATGAATTAAACTCGGATTGAAAAAGCAGGCCATATATAGTCTTAATTCGGTAAGGGATTCACAAGTAAAAAGGTCACAAGGTAAAGAATATATGCATCCTAAAGGTAGGGAAACATCAAGCTTTCTAATATTATGTTTTATAGCAACTGAAATCCATGAATAAACACGGGTAGGATTCACCGGCATTTTAAATGAAAGACGCAGCCTTTCGATGTTTGAATCATCGTGCTGGAGAAGTATTCTTTCCACAGAATCCAAGAAGGAAGCCCGACGCTTTAAGTAATCACTCTTTGTTATGTCAATTGAATCCCATAAATCAATGTTGGAAATTGAAGTCCAGAGGTTTTTCCATCTCTTGCATAGTATCGATGTTCGTATAATATCTTTGGTGGGAAGGAAGGAGAGGATATGCTGGAGAATTGCATTAGGCAATATGCTAATCAGATCTTCCCTTCTATCTTCTTTCTTTAATTTAGAAAGCCTTTGTTGCTCTTCGCTCTTCAATACTATCAAGTTCGCCATAAAGAGGTTCTGATGTTCTGCTTTGAAGAAGGAATAAGAAAAAGTTAGAGCGCTTTGCATAACAGAAACCCAGTTCAAAAAAGAAAAAGGAAAAAGTCTCCTTCGACGTTGAAGACATCAATATCAAACTGAATTTTTTATGATTTATCAAAATCCTTCAGCCAAGAAAGTAATGAGCAACAAAGATTAAGTTTCTTATATCTCATAGAATGAGGAAAAGGAATCAGAGGAAATGCCATTAAAAAGGACCATATCAAAGTTGTTGAAGAAGAGAGCATGAAGAATCATAGTATAGAGAATAGAAATTCATTATAAATAAAAGGAGGATTCCAGCTAGACTATTCGTGTAGTTTCTTGAAGAAAATTTCATTGTCATCTATGTGATGTTAAGAATTGGGGTTCAATCTTAAAAGATCTGCATTATTGAGAGGAGTAGCTTAAATCATTATAAGTTGGTCTATATTCTCGTCTTTGTTCGTTGTTGGTTTATCTCTTAACATGTTATCACAAGATGATGGCTCGTTTGAACATACAATCTTCAAACTCGTATGCTCATTTTTTTGGGTTTTAATCATATCGAATTTTTCGTTGGAGTTTAATGGATTCTGATACCATATTAAGGCTTGAAAATCCATCTTAAAAGGTCAACTTTATTAAGAGGAGTAGTTCAAACTCTTATAAGTTGGTCTATGTTTTCATCTTTATTTGATGTGGGATCTTTATTTCTTAACATGTGATACTGGAGATTATACATGACAGAAGGGTCATATACTCTAGATTTTAAGTGTATATGAGCCTATTAGAGGAACACCCTACATGAAGTAGTTCAGTACTTGTTTAGCCAAAATAATCCAATCGGCTAATAAAAAACTGTGAATACATCTAACTACATTAAAAATTATAAAATTTCTCAAATAAATCATTCATACTATAGATGTAATAATATTCTTAAACTTTGGATTTCTTACCTTAAACAAGCACTGTGAGTGCCTAAAAAAAGGCTCTGTGAGTAAAGGAAAAGCAGTCGTTAGCACTAATCAATATATACAGCTAAAAAATAGTCAAAAAAATCGGGGAAAAAAAAAAAAAAAGCAAATTCTTTGTAAACATATCCGGCATAAATTGCACAGATCTGCAAATGGAAATAGGAAAAAAAATGAATGAAACTTTATTAGGTAATGAACAAATATCGACAAAGATCTTATAGAGAGGGGATAGAGAAGATGGTTTCGCTGGAAATGGTGTGAGGAGAGAGAGCGAGACAAAGAGAGAGGGAGAGAGAGAGAAGCAGGAGGGGATCGAAAGCATTTAGCAAAACTGAACTATATGGGTCCAGAATCGCAGAGTAGAAACACAAATCAAAGGAACACATATTTCCTTTTTGTTTGTTTCGAGAAATCTATTGATCAATTCCGATTTTTTTTCTTTTTCTCTTGATTCTTTTCCGATCAAGATGTATAGATCCTGAAAGAAAAAAGCCCTAAACAAGGCGATGCAGATATACAGAGCAGACAAAGGAAAGCTCAAAATCTTTGAAGATCCAAACTTTAAGCAAACCTGACACAATCCAAGAGACCTTCCACGATCTGGGACGTCAAACGCCACAGAGGAAAAAACACAACGAAGGAACAAAGGACAAGAAATGCCCTAACCAGAACTTCAATTGTATGAGTGAAAGAGAAAAGGAAGGAATAAGGAAAAATGGAAAAAATGAAGTTAAATAGGGAAAGTGAAATGACGCCGTTTTACACTTATTGAATAAATGAAAATTAAAAATATCTCAGTAACCCGTGTGAATGTGAGGTAAAAATCGAGAAATTTATAGGAAAGCGGCTCTTTTTATGCAGCGGGAAATACAGTATGTGTCAAAAACCAGGGTATTTCACACATCAACAACTTATATGAGTGTTTAAAGAATGGTTTCAAAGTAAGCAATATATTTCCCTCTTCACCTCATATCTAGGTTCTCAAAAGGACCTTAGAAAAGCAAGGGAGTATTTCAAAAGATCAATAATGAATATCCAGAGGGTCTGAAAACAAAATATAACAAAAACCTCCACAGATTCCATGATCCTCTCAAGAGACTTGGACATAGGTAAACTTTGGCAGTAACTGGGCTTCAAAAACAATGAAATTTCAATACCGATAACATGAAACGTGTGATATGTCTGCCTGAAGGCCCAGGGTTCGGCCAACCACTGCCTACTTTACAGTTGAAGCTCCCCAAAGTGGATTAAGGCTACCTTTGCATTAATTTTCTCCATCGAACAAGGTTACAAGAACTTTTACAAGACAACAAAGCAAGAACTGACATCAATAGCCTAAATTGATGGATTCATCAACAAGAAGAAAACCATTAGTGCAATCTAAGAACCGAGCTTCAATTTACATAGCCAAAATCCCATACACATTATACACTTAACTCTCAAAATGAATCACAGATAATCACTTGGTTTAATAAAAGTTATTGGAGTAGAGAGAGAAGCAAGCTGTGCTAAAACGAAGAAGAGAGAGGAAACCCTATTCCGTTGAGACGGTCTTTTATTTCTCACTTCCAAAGGCCGGGATCTATTCTCTTGCAACCCAATATCAAGGATTAGTTTCCATGGTCGTTCCTTCTTTTATTTAGAGTTAAAACCCGACTCTACAGTCATGCAACAAAGTCTTTGTATATTAAGAAAAGAGTGGAACCAAATATGATAATTTCTCCCATAAGTGATGCAGATGCAGAGCACCATAACCAAATGTGCCATTTTTCCTCTTTCAGAATGATATTCCCTTCGAGAGTCATACTCATGCATAAATGGATAAATGAGATGGGTGACCACGACCAAGTTATGAATGAGAGTTGTCCCAGAGCCAGGGATTTAACAGTGAGGCGATAACCAGAATTAGAAGAGACAAACTTGAGTGGTAAGCCAAGTTGATCTACAAGAATTCAAAATTTTGATGGGAAACATCTCAAGACTTCAATTCAATTTTTTGATTAGTTTTATTTTCCTTGTAGTTTCTTAAACGGAGTATATTATGCTTTAAATTTTAGTACTTAATCAACTTAGGACATGATATGAAGCCTATGTTTGGACCCTATTTTTTCAAAAACGCATTTTTTCAAAATTCATTTTCAACCACACATTCTCCCATAAAATAACTTTATATGTTCGAAAATTTTTCCTTATTTTTTAACCAGACATATTCCCAAAAAATTATAATTCCAAAACACATTTTCTTACAAAAATGGGGCTCAGACATGGGCTAACTATCAATTGCCTTAATTGTGTAGATGTTGTTATGCTATAGTTAATCTTTATTAATGTGGAAAAGTATTCTTTAGTTAGATATTTCAATGTTCAGTAGACATAAATAGCCCTCCCCATTGCATTTTCGAAAAGAAGGGAAAAGAACCCCAACAACAGGCCTTTCTCATAAACTGTAAAACACCTCTATACCCTGAAAATAAAAAAAACAGAAAGAAAAGAGAAAAAAATAACAGAATCATTTAAATTAAGTTATTTTTTGTTTGAAAAGACTTTAGGAAGAATATGAGCTCATGGTACAGTAATGTATCCAAAATTATTTATTTCCTTTTATAGTGATCATATTTTCTGCAGTTTTGATGAATCAAACAACAAAAAATGGGATTTAATTTTATCCCTCACTCATTTCTATCTATTTATAAGCACAAGTGTTTATAAAAGCCTGCCAAAAATATTCTAAGTTATTGGCATAATATAGCATTGTAATTAAATTAATTGTAAATTTTCCTATGTAAATCATATCAAATCTACATG